AGTGTAGGTTAAGGTATTCCTTAAATAATTATTAATGTTTTATTCCTATTTAGGAGTCTAAAGATGAAGATGATGACACATCAGAAGAAATTGATGAAGACGATTTTACAGGAAGTAACAGTGAATTTTCTGAGGAGGCTTACACTGAAGAAGATGAGGAAGTGGCAGAAAAGGAGGAAGAGAAGGAGGAGGAAGAGGAGGAAGAGGAGGAGGAAGAGGAGGAAGAGGAACAAGAAAGTAGTTCAAATGAAGAAGAAAAGGAAATTGCTGCAGTATGTCAAAGGACTATAAATTGTGAAAGCAGCAGGAGCGCAGACAAAATTAAACAAAGAAAATGTGACAGTGAAATTATTACCAATGGTCATAGTGAAAAGGGCATAGAAGACTCAACCTGCAGAACAGGTGCCATTCACCCCTGTGGAAATCCCACAGTGATTGAAGATGCTCTGGAGAACGTTAGGAACAATGATCCTGACACCACAGAAGTCAACTTAAACAATATTGAGAATATTACCACCCAGATGCTGACCCACTTTGCTCAGGCCCTCAGGAACAACACTGTAGTCAAAACTTTCAGCCTGTCCAACACTCATGCAGATGACAATGTTGCAATGGCCATTGCCGGAATGCTAAAAGTGAATCAACATATATCAAGTCTGAATCTGGATTCCAATTTTATCACAGGCAAAGGGATACTAGCTATCATGAGGGCTTTACAGTATAACAAGGTTCTGACGGAATTACGGTTCCACAACCAAAGACATATCATGGGCAGCCAAGTGGAAATGGACATTGCTAAACTTATGAAGGACAATACTACACTGGTGAAGTTAGGCTATCACTTTGAGCTTGCTGGACCAAGAATGAGTATGACAAGCATCCTGACAAGAAACATGGATAAACAAAGGCAGAAACGGATGCAGGAACAAAGACAACAAGAGTCCAACTGGGATGGAGGAATCAGCCCAAAGACCAAAGCTTTGCAAAAAGGAACTCCTGGTTCTTCACCTTACTCATCTCCTCGGAGTTCACCATGGTCCTCCCCAAAGCTTTCTAAAAAGGTTCCACCTGTTAAAATCCAACCACCATCCCCTCCTCCTCCGCCTCCACCACCACCTCCACCACCACCTCCTCAAATTGTCCCAGAGAAAAAAGCACCAACCAGGAATATTGCGGAAGTTATCAAACAGCAGGAGAGTGCCCAAAAAGCTGTACGAAATAAACAGAAAAAGAAAAAAGGCAAGAAAAGCAAAAAATATGAGAGTGAGATCTTGAAAGAAATCAAAGATTCCTTAAAATCAATCCCAGATAAGAAATCAGAAGAAGGTTCACGTCCTTCTACCCGACCTCCTACACCACAGAGATCTATCCATGGTGACCTCATGGAAGCAATCAGAGCAAGTAGCTTAAAACAGCTAAGGAGGGTAAGTTTCTTAAGCTGTTTTAGGTTTACAGGCAAGTTGTGTCTCAGATACATGATAATGAATAAACAGGAGTCTCATAGCCTCAGCCCAACGTTCTTGTTAATGATTTATTGCAGGAGTCTAACATAGCTACACCTCTGGAATTATGATAACCAATCAAAACTTTTTAGATATGCAGGGTGATCATGTTAAAATAATGTAAGTGGAAACATTTGGAACTCATATACATTGCTATATTGAACTCTAAAATGGGTATTTTTGATTACATTTTTTAAAATTACAAAATGTGTAAGATTATCCTTGTTGGTGTTAATGTATCATTAGAGATATCTGATGACTGAATTCAAAACACCATCATGAACTAACTGAAGAGAAAGGGTGGGTAATAAAGTTGGCCACCCCCTCTTTGTAGATGCTTCACAAGCATGAACCTGGTAGCCAGTGTACAGTAGTCGCTAGAACACTGCACTAGGACTGGCAGCAGGGGAACTGGGTAAGCTCATCAAAGGCACTCACTAGGTAATTTTGGGCCAATCACTCTCTTCAAGCCTAACCTATATGAAAAGGCTGTTGTGACAGTAGAATGTAAGGAGGGGACAACCATCTATGCCAGCTTGAGCTCCCTGGAGAAGAGGCAGGATAAAAATGCATTGAAGTACAGGTGCTCAGGTAGTCGGAGGATACCAACTGATGGGCTTTTTAAAAATGAAAGATGCTTCCAGGAAGCCCTTAAAAGGAAGATTGATAGCAATTTGATTTTTCAGAGTACACTTGAAAAAGAAATACAATACTTATAAGAAATTCTTATCGTCTCAAATGTATTTGTCAAAACTATAAGAGGATGCAAAAATTCTTTTGCTCAAAGTCTTAAAATTTGGTAGGAAAACTGAGAGACAGATAAAATAGCTTTCCTTTTATGTTTATATGGGCAAGTAAAAGCACACAGAGGAAAGGCACAAACTATGTCAAGTTTAAGATGCTCTGTAACACTACCCCCCACCCAATGGTAACTTAGGGTTGCCAGGTCTTACCTCCTTGCAGGCAAGGGGGAGTGGAGTGGGAGGGAGCTCTCTGGAAGGGGGGGGAGTGGGGTGATGGTTACCATAGAGTGTTGCTGCGCAATGTCCCTGGTGAGATGACGTCACTTCCATGTGACGTCATCACATTGGGGACACTGGGGACATTGGGAACGTTGTACTGGGTTGTGTGTTGGGGCAGGGCTTCCCCCTGCTGGCCAGCTGGCTGGCGGTGGGCAGGAGCTCACAAAATCAGGGGATCCCTTGCTCCCATCTGGGGGCTTGCAATCTTTAATCTAGCAATCCCCACTTAATCTGAGCCCCTAAACTAGGGGTCCCCAATGTGGTACCCACCAACACCTTTCCTGGTGCCTGCCAAGTGTTTTTAGAAAGTGAACAGGGCAAGGTAGGGCTTTTGCCCAGCAAGGATACTCATTGACAGATTTGATTGGCTGTTCAGATTTTAAAAACATTGCTTGGGCAGTAACTGCCACCAGAGCACAAGGATCTTCACTGTGTGACTGAAGGTAAACTGCAGCAGCCATTTTGTGGCTGACTCAGCCTCCTGCAGCAGACATTTTGTGGCTGTGCCAACCACACTGTCTCAGAATTCCAAAGGTTCACACAGGCTCAAGAAGGTTGTGGACCCCTGTCCTAAACTGTAGCTTGATTAATTAGTACATAAATCCAGGTCTGCTAAGACATAAATTACTCATTATGATAACCATACAATTTTCATAATTACATGATCTGATTTTCTCCCTTCCAAATATCATAACTTGTGTATTTCAGGTGGAAATCCCAGAAGCTCTGAGATAAAAACATGAAGAGAAGAAGAATGACAGTACTGTGATTATTAGAAAAAAGGTACTGAATTGATCTACAGTGGTCAACAGACTAATGTAAATGGCTTCAGAAGTGTACACGTAGGCCTGAAAAATATGATGACAGACCTGCTAAATGTTAAGTGACCCTTCGAGGACACATCAGCATTTTAATTTGTAAATATGGAGACTACCTTTTTTATTTAACAAGATTTCTATGGAAAAAAATGGTCATTTGATCACATATAGCACTTCACAGTCCATGTTCTTTATATGGAGAAGCAGTTGTTCAATGACTTGTGGTTTTGTCCATTTCATTAATATGCAATAAAGATGGTTTGAGTTTCAGTGACAAAACTATCTGTCCTGCATTTCATACCTGTAACCTTTACAAAAGACTTTTTTTAAAAAAGATCAGGGGCTTAAGGGAGCTACACAGATACTATGGGAACATTCTTCATGTACCTGGATTTATAGTGGTCGATGTCATAGGTGGATGTTAGTCACATGGATTATCCTTCTTTCTTTTTAAAAATTACTTTAATGGAGCTGCGGTGGCTCAAGTGGTTAAGACGCTGAACTGCAGGCTGTGGAAGGTCAGTAGTTCAGCAGTTCAAGACCCGGGTGCCGCAAGACGGGGTGAGCTCCCGTCTCTAGTTCCAGTTCCTGACAACCTAGCAGTTCGAAAGCAAGAAATTGCAAGTAGATAAATAGGTACCACTTCGGTGGGAAGGTAACAGCGTTCCGTGCACCTTGGTGTTTAGTCATGCCGGCCACATGACCACGGAAACGTCTTCGGACAGCGCTGGCTCTTCGGCTTTGAAACGGAGATGAGCACCGCAACCCTAGAGTCGGATTCGACTGGCTTTCGAGCAAGGGAACCTTTACCTTTTAATCATTTCTAGGCTACCATTCCCTTTATTGTGGCCCTTTCCACATTATCATTCTAAACTGGATTTTATTTGTTGTTGGCCCAATTTCCAGTAAAGTGATACAGGGATGAGGGCTTCACACAGTGGATTTCCTTCGGTTAATGAGCCATCTCTGAAGCCCTATGGTAATTTCAAACAGTGCTGCTTCCCCCCCCCCCTTTCCGCCACACGATTGTCCACTAGGGCTGCCAAGTCCCCCCGGGGGGCGGGGAAAACCCCACCCCAGAGGCCCGTTCCCCGCCGGCGGTGGATTGGGCCCCGGGGGGAACCCCACCCCGGCGTGTGCATCACCAGGAAATGGCGTTATGACGCCGGGCACGCTGGGGGCGGGGTCACGACCATCCAATGGGAAAACTCTATGTGTGCGCGTGGGTGTGGTGTTTGCATGCTTTATAAACAGGGCTCAAGCACTGCTAGCTGTCCTTGTAGTTTGCTGAAATCACTTAATAAACTAGAGCTGATCACTGCAATGCATCTAGAACCCAGTATTTAACATTGGCGACAAAGGTGGGATCCTGTTGAGTCAGCCCAACACCCACCAGCACTGCACCGTGCACCGAGCTCCAGTGCCACACGCATCGCTCACGGGACCATGGCTGCTGCTCCAGGGCACTTCGATGCATTTGATGCCACTGCTGAAGACTGGGAGTCTTATCTCTGCTGGTTTGAGTTTTTCCCAGAGTCCTCTGGGATTGAGGTGGCTGAAAAGAAGCATGCCACCTCCTTCCGAGTCTGCAGCCGCTCAACCTTCAAGATCGCCCATTTGCTGAGTACACTGAGTACAAGTCGATTTTGGATTGGCTAAAGGAACACTTCTCTCCAAAACCATCCGTCATCACCACCTGCCACATGTTCCACACAAGGAACCAGGCCATGAATGAATCAATCACAGTCTTCGTTTCTTTCCTGTCCCACAAAGCTGTAATCGTGGAACTGCTTCACTGCCTCCTCAACAAGAAGAAGAAGAAGAAGAGAAGAAGAGATTGGATTTATACCCCGCCCTTCACTACCCAAAGGTGTCTCAGAGCGGCTTACAAACTCCTTTCCCTTCCCCTCCCCTCCCCACAACAGACACCCTGTGAGGTGGGTGGGGCTGAGAGAACTCTGACAGAGACTGCTCTTTTTTTTCAAGAACAGCTCTTATCAGAGCTACGGCTTGCCCAAGGTCATCCAGCCAGGTGCAAGTGGAGGAGTGGGGAATCAAACCCGGTTCTCCCAGGTTAGCGTCCGCACACTTAACCACTACACCAAACTGGCTTCGTGGGTGCACAACACTGGGCACCACTGCAGGAGACAGACTCTGGAGTGTGTCGATGTGTCATTTGGGGTGGTCCAAAGATTGTTTTGAGGTGCAGCCTGGCCAGGGTTGCCGACCTCCAGGTGATGGCTGGAGATCTCCTGCCTCTCCTGGAGAAAATCTCCACTTTGGAATTTGAATTCTATGGCATTATGTCCCAAACCCTGCCCTCCTCAGGCCCCACCCCCCAAATCTCCAGTTATTTTCCAACCTGGAGCTGGGAACCCTAAGTGTGACTCTGGTGTCTGTCTGTGTGATTGTCCTAAGGGCACCTCACTTTGGAGCCGCTGGAATAAGAATTAGGGATGCCAGTCCCCAGGTCAGGGTGGGGATCCCCCAATTTTGGGGGCTGCCCCCAAACACTGGCCAGCCGGCCAACGGGGGGAAGCCCTGCCCCAACAGTTGTCCATGGCTTCTGTTGAAAAGAATAGGGGCCATGCCTGCCTACCTGCAAATGGCGAACTCACCACTTGCAAGGCAGGGGCGGGCTGTTGCTGCTTTCCCCCAACCATTTAAAGGGAAAGTTCCCTTTAAATAGTTGGGGGAAAGCAGGAGGGGCATGTGCCCACAATGCTCTATCCCTGATGTGTCCCTGACTCTGGGTGACATCATTGCATCAGGCACAGCCCCTTCCCCCTCCTGGCACCCCCCCCCCCAAATCCCCCTGCCAGGGAGAAAATAGGACCTGGCAACCCTAACAAGAACTGCGCTTTGTATAAGGAAACACCATGTGTCCCCTCGAAGGAAGGAGTCCCCTGAATGTGGAGGTGTATGATGAGTGGCATTCCAAACCTTATTTTGGGGTGTTGAGGGCATGACGTTGCTCCAGTTCCTTATTCAAATCTTCTTTGAAATACAGGCTTCTTGGTGGTACTCCAAACAGAAGCTTGTGGTGCCAGAACCAGTGTTTGGACCAGGCACCACTGTATGTCCTCTTGCAGGAGACAACTCCAGAGTTTGGGGATGTGTCATTTGGGATGGTCCAAAGATTGTTTTGGGGTGCAGTCTGGTCCCAGTGTTCGCCTGTGTGATTGTCCTGGGGGCACCTCACTTTCGAGCAGCTGCCACAAGAACTGCACTTTGGACTAGGAAACACTGTGGTCCTTTCCGCACTTGGATCTCATCCCTGGTTTTATCAGAGTCCAACTTGCAACACAATACCTTGCATTTATCCCTGGTTATAACAGCATCCGTTTATCCTGGGAGAAGTGTGGGGCAAAACCAGGGTGACCTCAATGTAATGAGGAAACAAAAAATACCCCGAGATAATTATAGGGGTGAACTTGAGTGTAGTGTAGAACGTACGTTCGGGGACAGGGTTGAACCAGGATTTAAGGTCTAGTGCAGAATCACCCTATATGTTCTCTCGAAGGGGAGAATCCTCTGAATGTGGTGGTGTATGATTTGTGGTGCTCCAAACTTTATTTCGGGGTTCAGAACTTTTAAAATTTCCTCAGTGCTTTTTGACTGAGTTCATTAATAAGTAAAAAATAAGAAATGAAGAAAGATTTTCTTCTTGCATAGTGGCAAGTTGGTCTTAAAGGTGGCAATGAACTCAAACTTCTGCTGCTTTAGACCAACACAATTACCCCACCTGAATCTTTCTTGCATAGGCAAGTCTCTTTTTTAAAGCAATCCATGATAAGTGATCTATCTCTACAAGACATTCCTATTCCTTGATATCCAGAGGGCCCCCTCTTTTACTATGTTTACTTTTGTATTTTATTTTTTATGGGCTTTGGGCGTATTTGTTATCATTTTCGATTCTGGTGGGGCAGCCTCACTTAACTGCTTCATTTTTCCTTGCCTAACAGATATTTGCATGACTAAGTACTGGCCACTTGAAGGCAATTGACTAGATGGAGGAGAGAGTGACTCTTCTTTGTTTACTGTCTGTCAACAGGAAAAAATTAAAAAAACAACAATAGTTTGCAGCTCCAAATGTCCAGATATTGGGGTGAACCTTTCAGTGGAGGGCATTTTTGCATAAAGACAATATGGCGATTCTCACACATGCATATGCTTAGCCCCTCACCATGCAGTATATTGATATATAGATATAGCGTGTGTGTAACCACATGATTTTTTAAAAAAAGAAAAAAATTAAAAAGGGGGAGGCGGTGGCACTGCTCAAAAATCCTGATTTTTAAAAAGCATGTATGTAAAATGTCAAATAAACTGACATTAGAACAAGAAAAACACAGAGAGAGGAAGGTGTGAAATCCCCCCTGCTTAACACAATTCCAATACTAGCAGACTGGCTGCTAAGAAAAGCAGGAATATGTCATGCATGCAGAAATCCCTCACATTTATTTTTTTTAGAATATTTTGATCCTCATGAACACACACACACAAGGCAGCTAGGCGAATGCAACAACAAATACAAAATAAGATCACATTGATGTTTCAATATCTGAAACAAAATAGTAAGACAGTTGGACACAGTAGCATCAGAATTACTAAAAATACACACGCTTGAATGCCCCCCCGGGGTCGTAATTAGAGATGGGAGAGAGGAAAAGTTGAGCTTTTTGGGGAGAGTTATATACTCAGGATGCCAGGTCCCCCTATTTTAGGACTCTAACCCAGTATTCTAAAACAATATAGTTTCTAGGCATATTTCAAAGGCAGCTCTATATACAGCATATCACAGTGGTCTAATTTGGATGGCACGAAGGCATGGATTACTAGTGGCCAGGTCTACCCTCTCCTTGAGCAACTGCCAAAGCAACCTAAATTGGAGGAAAGTACTCCATGCCTCCTCTGCAACCTGAGTCA